ATTATCAGAGAAGCGCGACCGGTGTTACGAGTCCTGATTGGACACGCAAATGGCCAATCATAAGATTGATTTATCGCTATTATAAATGGCTACCGAATAAATCAAACTTATGATTGGCCATTCGATGCCATTTTTAATATTTTCTAGTACTTTTGCGATACTGCCATAAGCCGGTCGCGCTTCTCTGATAATCTAGGACTCTAGGCATACGGAACGCACCCCAGATGTTGCTACCATGTTTTCAATGGGGGCGCGCTGGGCGCGCAGTCTATCTTATTGTCTATGGTTGAAACTCGCCCGCTCTCTTTTTCTCTTTTTTCTTTTTTTCTCGATTTATGCCTCTACGCTGCCATCTTTGTCGTTTCGTGTGTCCTGTGCGCTCGACGATTACAATTTATAACGTGTTTGGTGGTGTTTGGCGTGGTCCGGTTTTGTTAGATCTCGAGACTGAATTGCATCTTTTGCGTGCATCTTGCGTCCACGATCGCATCTAGGTCGCGTGTAAATCTTCACGATGAGTACCGACAGTATCGAAAAGCTGTACAAGAACTTTGGTATTCTCGCCGACGCCAAAGATAAGCTAGTACAGGTGTGCACAACAATTAGTTGATTACTTAGTTGAGCACTGGCTACGCTCGATTAAAAATATATAATCGACAATCTTTTTCTTTCTCTAATATAACTCCAATTGACGCTACGTTTTACCGAGTTATTCCCGCAAATTATGCCTGCCGACTGAGACATGCGAATGCATATCTCGAAATGCCGGAAATGCGTGTAGCGTTCTGCATGCATCTGATTGCCACATATTTCGAAATCATCAAAATTGAATTTTTTTCTTTATATGTCGTTAATATTCTATGAATGGCTCGATATTACAGTAGCTTGCCGAAAACGTTTTCTGTGTACGAAAAGTTACTGTAGTCGACGAAAATTTTACATATAATGGACATAGTGATCGTTAAAATTCTTATTTCCTAAATCTTTATAACAATTCGTTTTAAGTGTAATTATGCATGCGATTACAATTATATATTTCGATTTTGAACATGAAAAGATTTAACAGGAGAGAATTTTTTATTTAGGTAGGAAGGAAAAAAGTGATTCCAATCCAGAATGCATATAGGGTAACTGTCCCTATTAGTGTGCCCTGAACTTATTAGTGTGCCTTTATATTTAAATAAGTCATAAAAATAAACTGGTACAAATATATAGACAAAGTATTTTTTTTTATTAAGTTAAAGTATTAACTTTATAAAAAAAAATACTTTGTCTATATATTTGTACCAGATTATTTTTATGACTTTCATTCCATTTCCATTAGTAATTTTTATGACTTATTCCATTTCCATTATTAATTATTAACACAAAATATGTATTCGCGATATTTTTTCTGCAATTGAAAAATAGACACCAATTCTACGAAATATTATAGAATAAATTAAAATTTATAGAATATGTATCTAAATAATATATGCAAGATGCTCACCGTTTGGTATAATATCTTGAATATGCTTAAATACGGTATAGTAATTTAGAGGTACACTGGTAGCCATCGACATTCGCTATAAACGGACAAAGCAAGTTGATCAGATACAGAGAGAAAATCTTTATTTCGATTCGTAATTAAAAACAGAACTCACGTGAACTGATTGCCTGTTCTGCTCGGCCTTCGCCGCGAGCTCCTTCCACCACGGATGATTTCGGTCGACGCGCCATTTCCGACTTCTCAATGCATTGGTCAGACATTCCGTCGCGGGCGCAATGTCGGATTGTATCGCGACGGCGGACGGCACGGAGTTGTGCAACTCTTCGGCGCACAAATCGATCTACGGAGTTTTATGTCAATGTACGAACGCTTACAGCAGTTATATATTAATCCTTGTGTAGATGATCTTTCTCGATCTTTTCGCATAAATCAATCTTTGGATTAAAACATATTTTTAACACTCACGCAATTTCGTAAAAATGCATTTAGTTCTCTCAATTTAATTTCGATAAACGAGAAGAAGATTGAAAATGAAGTCTCATCACCGCGAGCTCTTTAAAAAGTTTCGACGCGTCCCAAGCGTATTGCATGCTCAAGGAAATTATGTATCAGGGACCACCGATTTATCATTTACCTGTATGACTTTGACGTTGTTTTGAAATCTGGGTGAACGTCCAAAGTGCAACATCCAATTTAATCGCGCGCCCAGCAACAGAATGACGTCGGAATGTAACAGGGCGTACGTTCGCGCGCTAGAGACACAACGCTCGTCCGTGTCCGGTACGACGCCCTTTCCCATCGGGGTCGGTAAGAAGGGTGCGTCTGTCGAGTAGATGAGCTCTCTCACCGGGTGTTCGGCTCGACCGTAAGCGGCTCCTGTACGTACAAAAGGCATAATGAATTTAAAAAAAGGAAAGAAACGAGATTCGAAATAATGAAAATTTTTTTGTAAAATCCGTGTATTTACCCTTGCCGATTATCACCAAAGGCTTCTTCGCCTTTACCAATAAATTCGCTGCCTGCTGGATTAATGTCGCATCGGGATACGATAGCGGCGGCGGTGGGCAGCATGAAACCTTAGCAATCTTACTTTCGTCCACGTTTTGGGTCAATAATGTAGCGGGTAAATCGAGATAAGCAGCGCCTGCAAATAATGTAATGAAATGTAAGACCAAAAAATTTATTTGATACCTTATTAAAATTTCGCTCAAATATCTCGTACGTTAATAGAATTCTTTGTTTATTTTTTTGTTATTTCCTATAAATTAAATAATTAAATAATTATTAAATACATTTCTCGTAGAAATGCAAAAATAAATTTTGGAAATCCAAAGAATGTCAATCGTAAAAAGACTGGAAAAGCTCGTAAAAGTTTATTCATCCTAATTATAAATTAAAAAGAATAGAAAATTGAGGAAGAGAGAAATGACTATCAGTCTCAGGCTGCGTTTGGAAAGCGCGCTATCATTCTATTTTCATCAGTCATTAGACATAAAACAAGGATAGAATGACGCAATAGCGTTAATGACGCGCTCCCCAAACGCAGCCTGAGAATGATAGTTATTTCTCTCTTCCTCATTTTTCTTTCTTTTTAATTCATAATTCGGATAAATATACTTCTTAAAATCTCAAGACATTATAGAAAATGCTATAAATTACAAATTATTAATCCAAACTTTCAGATACGCGAGACGTTAAATTCTTGCAAACTATCGCAAAGCTTTCGCCAATATATTTTAAATCCATCCGGTCCTAATTCACGCTTCTCCAATTTGATTCGATAACTACAAAAGCCTGGTCCTTATACCTGGTCTACCGTAAGTGGCGAGTCGTACAGCCTTTTCGACGTGCAGCGGTATAAGCGCGGCTGACGGCGGCCTCGCCGCGTATTTGCAATACGGTCTACTCGCCTCGACCTGTGGCCATTCCTGAAATCCACCGATGCCCTCGTGATCCTCCGGGCAGGACCCTCCCAGTATGAGCACAGGCCTGCCGAAACGAACGGGTGTGCTCAATCAGAAGCGCCGATTTCGAATATTCACGGTTATTATTCCTAACGCGCTAAGAAAATCTAAATTATATAAGTTTTAGCTACAAAGCGAGGCTTTGTATCAACACGCGATTTCGTAAAACTTTTCATTAGATGGCAAAACAAAAATTGCTGTTCCACGTGCCCGAGATGTTTTCATAAGGAAAAATCCACAGACCGCAATGACGTAATTGTCTCGATCGCCGCACCGTGATTTCAATGCAATGAGATCGTAATCACAAACGGCAGTTGGATGAACAATTTCCACGACGATTTCCTTACGGCAATAAACAAAATTGCGTCGAAAATTGCCGCGTGTGTCGATCGTTCCGTAAGATACGGAAAAATAATTAATTAATCAGCTTCCGTTCCGTCGCGAGATTCTACTGTATAATATGTATATAATACGTGAATCTGTGATATTTTTCTCTCCATACTTCGTGATATTTTTCTCTCACGGCTATTGCCAATAATGTAACCCCCGTTTAATGTGATTTGAGCTATTAGTTTTAAGTGTAATAATTAAGATCGCACAGGAATCGCGTGATAAGAGAGGCAACAGGTAATTTACTTACGCATTAGCAATTCATTCTCGCAGTTACATTGCCAATAACGTACTACGTTTAATAATAACTTCGGCCAATTATTAAGATAGCAGGAATCGCGGGTCAATGCTCACCAACAATTTACTTGCGCATTCGCCATGCCGCCAATAACATGCAGCAACCCCGGACCAGAGACACATAACACCACCGCAGGTTTTCCTGGAGGATAAAGATTCATTCATATAGGATATCAGATAAGCTTTATGGAGATAAAGATTCCATATAAGATTTCATATAAGCTTGCTTTTTTTATTTTGCTCAATTTTCTATTATCTAGTTTATTTGTTGAACAACGATTACAGTCGAACGATACGAGTTATTATCGCGTTTTGCAATGGAAATTAATGTGGTTTTGCCACAAAAAATGTCCTCGTCTTCCATTTTACATTTACAAGTGCGCATATTGAAATAATTTCAAAAAAACTTCAACTTACTCGTTAAATATCCGTAAGCTTGCGCGGCGTAGCAGGCGGCCTGCTCGTTTCTGAAACCCAGATACTGCATACCGACGGATTGCATAGTTAGAGCCAAATCAATCACAGGGTGTCCCATGATGCCGAAGACATAAGTCAAGCCCTATGCATAATAATATAGCGTATAGAAAACATTATCCCGGAATAACTCGGACATAACTAAATGTGTGTAATTAAATATTATAATTCACATATAGATCTCCTTCTATCTTTGCATACTTCTTCCTGAAAAAAATTTCTTTTATCTCTTAATTTTTAACAATTGTTTATATATCTTAAATTCATCAAGATTTCTAAGGAAATATCGTAAACTTCTTCAGATTTTATATAAATTTTCTTCGGAATTATAGAGTGAATTAAAAATCTTAAAATATTTTAGAATTCACATATATAAACAATTTTGGAAAGATGTAGATTTTTTTAACATTTCTAAAAAGTATTCCAACAACAAAATCTGAGAAATTTTCTAGTTAAAAAAAAGTTATAAAGTTATAAAACTATATAGAAATTACGAAAAATTTTAAAATTCATATAGAAATTTTGAGAAATTATGTGAAGCTCTAAAAAAAATTTTTTTCATCAGAATTGCATTTAAAAATATATTAACAGGATCGATCGATAAAAGCTTATATTAATTGAATATGCATTGAAAGAAAATTTAAGTTAGCAAGTCTCATCTAACTGTTCCCTCTAATCTCGATCTTCTCTCTCTCTCTTTTCTCCCGTACGTATCTGCTTATACATATATATGTTCTCAAAAAAAGACATTAAAGAAGTCGGTCTAATAATGTGATAATGCGGCGCGCAGTAACATAAACAATGCATTTTATCAGGACATATAGATAATGTACAACCCCGATGAACTCGCGCGGAATGGAAACGAGACGCAGACTCCGCGTCTGTCGCAGCATCCAGTAGCTCGGTAGTTTCGACCGATCTGTATAGGTATCTGCGCGATAAAGAACGACCGGTAAAGCAATCTGATTTTCAGCATGCATCAAGAGCACGATGAACGCACGCCGTTAATTGCGCCGCCAAGAAAGCGTAAGTATTAATAATTGTACGATCGCGATAAGAGCATTCCGATTCGGTATTCGCGCCGCACGAACAAATTTGATTTGTGATAAGCGCACGCGCGCGCGTCACAGGATCGCCCTCACACACACACACACACACACACACACACACACACATTTTTAAAATATTTTTTTATATTGCGAGTCCGAGAATACGAATGCAGACTGCAATAAGTGCTCTGTAAAATTAGTCTTATCCTCGACTTACTCCGACATCCGCTGTCAACGATTGTTACGTCAAATCGCATCATCATTTCGGCTTTTCGAGCGTATCGAATCCTCCTGCAGTTTAAATCGTGTGCAAGAAATATAAATTGTTGCTCACTATCGGCACCTATATAATTATTAATATTACGGTCCGCAGCTTGAAGATGTTACACCAAGTGTCATCGCTTCTACCTAATTGTGTATTATGTACCCGCGCGGTTTATTTTCATTACAATTAAGTATAATTATCAATTTTACAACTAAGTATAATTATATCGAGATTCCAATTTATCATCGGGAACAATTTGCAATTAACGTAATTTGAAAAAGTCGCGCACGTGGTGCGATGCGATAAAACATGAAAATTAAGTGTAATATATCTATTGGATATAATTAGAAAGGAAAGTAGCGTTAAAAATGGAATAAAAATAAATCCAAATTCCGGCCGGTTGGAAAACCCAAGTCCTCGCACTCCCCGCCAAGTCAGAGAGCGAGGCCGTGATAAACAAAAATGTAAATCCGATCACGTGAGCGCCACGGTGACCATAACCTTCAAATCGACGTGCAATTTTTTTTCTGCGAAACGACTGTCGAGAGACTGTCGAGATTCTCCCGGGAGGAAGAACTGACGCAAGAGAGACCTTATGCAGGAGCTTCCTCGAATGAGAGTGCCGCAAGGATCCCGGAATCAAGGATACGCTCGGTGGCTCATTAAAATGTAGCGCCGGAGATCCGCGGTGCGGAAAAAAAAAATACCGAGTCCCGTACCTGCTCCTTCAGGGCCTCCGCTATGATTAGATTTCCGTTCTTCATCCTGCCACGCGCCTCTTTCGATCCTCAACACGCCCGGATTAATACGGGGAGAATAAATGCCTTTCGTCGGATACGTAAACTGTCAACTCCCTGCCACGTTCGCGAGTCGCGACTAATTGTCGCGACCGTTGTACCCGCGGTGATCATCGAGTCGTAAAGACTGATACGCAGATATGACTATTTGACGTCATCGCGTGCTGAAAAACAACGTTTATTAATAATTTCAAGGGTTTTTTAAAATTATTTCCAGGGGTTTCTAATTTCGAGAAATTTTAATTATTTCGAGAAATAGAGAGAATAGATTTTTATTTACGTCGCGCCAATCAACGTGTGAAACACTATAATTATTATAACTTTAAGTTATTGTTCATGTAAGAAAAGTAAATAGTAATTTAAAATCACTATTATATAAGACATTAATTGCAATGACTTCGAATTATTATTCAAACTATATTATTCATATATGAAATATGGTAACTTGTAAAAGTCATAATGATTATAATTGTCTGATATTAAGATAAAGTAAATTTTATTCAAAATAGCCTTGGCTATAAATATGAAGCATCACAAAGACGTAAACATTATATATCTAATAAAATTAAATTTAAAAAAGTTTTATTGAAAAATAATATTTATTTTTATAATAAATTTAATAATTTTTTTAGTCCTTTGGCTTTTATTACCACCTTTTCCAAGAAAATGCAATAAATTGAAGGTGCTTTATATTTATATAATCAAGCCTGTATATATTCTGAACGATAAGTATGTGAAATAAAGGATAAAATTCTTATCTATATATACATTGCAATCAAAAAGTTTTATCCGTGCCTTTGTAAATCTGCCATTTGAATCCAAACTTTTATTCCATGATAATGATATACATCTTTAAGCTGTTACGGAAAATTTCGGCATAATATGGCAATAATTTGCGAATCGAAGTTATGCCGGTCAACGAGTAGAAAGCCGGTAGAAAGCGAAATAGGAAATGGCTCGTAACGCGAATATTGCTACCACGAAAATAGTGAAATGGCGAGACGATAACAGGTTGCAGTGTCTCCCAAAAATATATAAATGGAACATACCGTAAAAAGAGAGAGAGAAAGAAGAATTTTATTCTCATTTCCATCTGTAATTTAAATTGATACGTGATACGCGCGTTGAATACGAAAGAAGGAAGCAAAGGGAAAAAAGGAATTTTAGTACAAAGAATCTATGTATGCAGAATCTATGTGGTTTTCTTTCTCTATCTTTTTGGTTTTGTTTTCTTTTGGTCGCTTTCTCTGTTGTACATTTTTCAGATAGGCACATTTTGATTGCAACATTACAATCTCTGTTAGAATCAAATAGTTATAAATATCAATTAGTCACGTATTCAAATGTACAAAGAAAACTGTACAAAACTGTAATTTTGACAATTAACTATTATATATATCTTTATGAATTTAAAAAATATCAAGGACATCGAAGTTTACTTTATCAGAATTTTATTCCTTTTTTACAATTGTCTTTTTGTGACTTGCCTTTATAGTTTATGATAAAGACAAGTCGCATATTTTTTACTATCGCTGTACATTTTTACTATAAGCATACCCTATAAGATTAAATTACAATAATTGATATAGGATCGTCCCTTTGGAAAAAAATACTGTTGCAACTGACCTTGCGTTTATCCAGTTATGCGTCAGCTGATTTGTAGTAAACATGTCTTATTTTCAAATTAAAGACAATTTCTTTATCTCGGAACGTTTAATCACAAGGACACGACAAAAGATTTTCTCATAAAATGTCCATTTGCATCTAAAAACGAAAATAAAATATAAGTAAAAATTCCAGTACATTATTTTTGTTAAAAAGTCACTACTTTGCCAAAACGTAAAGTATGAAATAACAATTTCTGAGCTCCATTTATATATTATTAGTGATATTTTTCCAAGCAAAAATATGCAATATATTTTTGTGTTTTCAGGATATAATGTTGGTTAAAATTTGAATTTATATATTTGTCTACTAAATAAGAATAATAAAAGTCTAATAAAAGAAAAGTATTTAAAAAACCATAAAAGAATTTTTAATTCGATTAATACGATCTATTAATACGATACTTTTTATCAAAAATTCTTTAATGTCAGGCCAAGGTCTGTCTAGTGTAGATACATCACACTATATGTCAAGTACAATGAAACGCACGTAAATCGGTTTACCATCCTCGCAGATAAAAGCCTAATGGTGCACGCACGATTTACGTTTGTATAATGGGTCGATAACACTAAAACGTGCTATATATCGTGTAAAACGTTCTGTCCTCGAACTGTTTCTCTTTTGTAGCTACATTGTTATAATAAAAGCACAATTTTAAGAATTTTGTATTGTAATTCATTTACATCTGTTTATAGAAACTCTATAATAATTTTTGTCATATTAGTTTTGTATAATTGTATTTTATTATTTTGTTCTTCGACATACTCCCTTACAGAAATTTAATACTGGCAGATAAGTGATTAATTACTTTTTTTAAATAAAAGAATTACATTACAGTATTGCTTTTTTAATACTTAAAATAAGTCATTTTCAGTATTAAATTGAATTTTTCTGTAAGGAATGTATTTTCAGTACTGGAAGTTCAATCGAAGTACCACATTTAGTACTATACAATTTTGAGAGAACTGTCATAGCAATTTTCCATAATACGTATAAATTCGATTTTGAAAACGTTACATCTAGCAAAAATTCCATATTTTAAAAAGACAGTTCAATATCAAAATTTTGCTATTTGTTCAAAAAAATTTATTTTCAGAAGAAAATCTCGTTGGAGGTTTGCAGATTACTCACCGAATACGATAAATTTTAAATTTTTCTCCCACTAGTTCTCTCGAAGTCTTCGTATACTTATAAGAGCGAGCTCTTGCTACCTGTGTGGGGGTATAAATAAGCTCCATGTTCAATGACTGTTTTGTGAAACTAGACGACGAACGGCAATCAAACGGTGATGACCGACGCGCGAGAGTCCTGAAAAAGTGAAAACGTCACGTATCTGTGAAAAAGTGTATTTGAATTTGCCAATTTCCCGAATTGAAACTTCAACATGAAACAAAAATTTCAAAATTTGCAGCTGCGGCTCTATCAATTATTATCACGTGAGTCAAATTTTTTTCTTCCTTGCAGAATTTGCAGAATTTGTTTCACACATTGCAAAATTTTTATAATTAAAAGATTTAGCGTTAAACTTTAACTTTCATTACAAACTCAAAACTGAAATTGAAACTAGGAATTATTCTAACAATCCTTTAAATCTCGAGCATTTTTATACTGTTCCATCAACTAAATTTAAAGATATTAAAATAGAGTTTCGTATATAAAAAAAAACATGGAATTGGCATACAACTCTAGTTTTCTTTCTTATTGTATCACTTTAATTGTGTCCATTGTGTTACAATTTATAAGTTACTGAGCCTTCTTGAACTTCGCAATTTTTTTCGCATATGCGCAAGTTTTTACTGAATCGTTAGCAGTACAAAGAACATCGAGTCAAATGCAAATAGACATTCCATAAAATGTAACGATAATAATATATAATAATCTTTATTACAAATGCAAAAATAAGAGACGTGAAGAAATGAAAAAGAAATAATTGTGTACGTGGAAACGTGAGGCGCCAGCAAGGCTGCGGTTATGCCTGCCAATAACAAAAAGACAAAAGTTAAACACACGCGTGTATGTAACGATATTCGAAGTCTAACGAAGCCTATAATGACTTTCATTTGTCGTATTTTAAAACAATGACGATCTTTTTACGAATACACGAGCGTCTTCAAAATTTTGTACTAATAAATTTCATTATGGATGATGAACCAGATTGTGAGCTTGATATGTCTGTAAAATGCTTGGAATATTTCGAGCAGATAGTTTGCATATTTTCGCAATCACAAACATCTGTGCATATTTTCGCAATCACAAACATCTGCTTTATATATACCTCATTTAAAGAGAACTCAAGACCGCGCAATTAATTACAATCACCTAAAATCTCTTCGTCACGTGCACGAGAGTGCGGTGCGATGACGATGGTTCAATAAACTGAACGTGTATATTGACAGAATTGTAAACGCAAATGATTCGAGATTTGCGATTCAACATATGAAAGAAAAAACTAAACTGCATCCGCGAATCTAGTTGGCATGGCAGTGCAACGCAAAATTCTGTCAATCGAATTTTGCTGTGAATTTTTCCGCTTCTCCGAACGTTCCTAAATGCGGGCTTTACGCGAACATCTCCCGTTTCACACTCCAGCGTTTTTCTGGAAACTTTTAGGTAAGTACGAATTATTCGACGGAAGTAATCACGGCGAAACGTTAGGAGAGATATAGGCAATTGTTATTAGACTAAAGGTTATTGTCTATTTATCTCTTGTCCTATTTCGATAACATAATTTATAAGATATATTCTAGAAGAAACGTGTTCTGATCTGAAACATATTAAAATAAAAAAACATCACAGACATATACGATTAAAGAAAAATAAGAAATATTTTTTTACAATATCTGTGATTATAATTTGATAGTCTTTTTAGAAAATATTTGAATTCTAAACAAAAATTTTCAGTTTTAAATATTCTAATTCTTCATATAAATTAAAACTTTTAAAGTAAATTCTCCATAAAGACATTACATAATTTTACTTATTCGTAAAAAATAATTAATCATCAATAATTTAAATTTTATTAATATATAATAATAAACCACATTAAAATACTCACATTTTCGGCGTTTTGTTCAAAATCGAATTACCTGAATAGAAGTTCATTAATGGAAGAAAATCAAATTATACATTCTCGGACGTTCTCTATAAACCATCTCACAATCGCAGATCGATTTCAATAGATTAAAGAATCTTTGCCGAGTGAGAAGGCTGTCACTAAAGATTCCCTTTTTCCTGTAGGATGTTTTCCGATACGCATTTGGATCTGCGTAATGATGTTCACCGCCTGCTGGACCAGCTACTCGTGCCGCTTGCAAATGCCGATCCTGGTGGTGCCGATGATCGAGGAGGCGCCGGTCAATTACACGAACGGTGCATGCGTATTCGACGAATCACGACGACGCCGTGACGTCATCGTCAATCCGCTCGATCCAGTCAGCTACCTGGACCAATACGTTCTGGATCTCGTCCAGGAGGAGCGGGACAGGAGGCTGCTGGAACGTCGTCAAGCGCAGCCGGTGACACGGCCGGCGGACGCACCCTTCGCGCTCTTCAGCGGCCTGCCGTTCGACTGGTCCCCGACAATACGGGGTCAACTGCTGGCCAGCTACAGCTACGGCAACGTGCCCGGCAACTTCATCGGCGGCTGGCTGTCGATGAGATACGGGCCGCGCCGCGCGATCCTCTGGACGTCGGTCGTGGCCGCGGTGGTTTCGCTGATCAGCCCGTTCCTGGCGCAGTGCCACTGGAGCGCGTTACTGTTCTCCAGAATCGTCATCGGTGTCACCGGCGGCACCACGTTCCCCGCGTGCCATACCATGGTGGCGAAGTGGGCACCGCCGCACGAACGGGCACGCATGATCTGGTCCCTGCTGGGCGGCACGTTCGGCACCATACTCACCTATCCGATGATAGCCGGTATCGCGGAGACCATGAACTGGGAATCCGGCTGGTACATACCGTCCTTGCTGATGGTGATATGGATCTTCGTGTGGGCATTGGTCGCCTACGACTCGCCGGGGGAACACCCGGGCATCAGTGCCGAAGAGAAGGACTATATTTTAAGGTGAGTTCGAACGAAGAGATCCACCGATTCTCTCTTCTTTCGCAGCGAAATTGATTCAATCGAGTAACGTGATTCTCTTGTAGCGCTCAAGCGGGAATTGTGCGGGCTGAGAAACCCCGGTGGAAGCAGACGCCGATACGGCAGATATTAACGTCGGTGCCGTTTATCAGTCTGATCATATGCCATTTCGGTAATCTCTTCCTGCTGTTCTTCTACCAGAACTCGCTCATGCTGTACCTGACCAAGGCGCTGGGATTCCAATTGACGAAGGGCGGCGCCGCGGCCGGCGCGCCGTGGGGCGCCAGGATGCTGTTCGGATTCTTCTTCAGCTGGGCGGGTGACACCATCAAGAGGAAGCAGATCATCAGCGTCACCCTTTTGCGCAAATCCGCGACTATGTTCTGTAAGCATACTGCGCGAAATTGCGATGAGAGCCAAACTCTACTTCATTCAAACGCGAGTCTCTTCAATCGTGTCAATATATACATTATATAATTAATATTAATATCTTGAAATTCCCGGATCATATAGAAAATATTTGGGGGCTCGGATTAACATTTAAGTAATCAGAATTCCGTTCTTCCAGCGCATTTTCTACCAGGAATCTTCTTGATATTGGTCGGCTACGTCGGATGCGACTTCGTGCTCGCAAACGTTTTCCTGTTCCTGGCACTGGGCTTCAACGGCGCTGCCCTTATCTCCAATCTGTCGAACAATCAGGATCTCGCGCCGAACTTCGCTGGTTTCCTTTACGGTATCATGAATACAATCGGCTGCATGTCCGGCATGATTATCCCACCGATAGTCGAAGAGATAGCCGGCAAATATGGGGTAAGTCTGTTAAAAATCAATTAATTTAATTGAAAAAAGTATAACTAATTTCTCTAGCTATTGAACGGAAGTTATTATTATCCAGACTTCATCTGAGTCGATTCGACTGTCTTTCAAATTATTTTCTCAAATGTTTTCCCTCGTGGCCTTGTCTTGACAATTATTTGCGATATGATATTATCCATTCTTTGTATCTATTCCATTACTTCTATTCTGTATGCGAACTGCAGCGTAACTATACAGCTCGCATAATTGCGCGGTTAATCGTGATCGTCAAGATCTTCAACGTTCCTCGAGTTGTCATTTTTTGTTTGTGTGACGTTGCGTAATGATAACGTGGCAATAACGTGACATGAACGGCCCAACGCGGCGAGTGCGGCTCTCTTATCCACACCTGAAATGTCCGTTAACATCTCCGTAACAACCGACAATTTTAATCGTGCGGCTTGAGCGTAATCCTCGACGGGACGATGGTTCTTCGAGTTGAAGGAGAGGAGGGACAGCGGACGCACGCGACGTTACGCAAGCGGAAACCACGCTTACGCGAGGAACGGGAGATCCCCCGATTGTCGCGACGAAAGGATTGTCCCCCGCTCTCTGATCTTTCGCGTTTAAATTGTACCGCTCGACCTCCTCCAATTAAGTGACTACTTGGCACTTGCAATCCTTTTTTATATGAAGATTTTAACATAAATCTTTTCCTTTCCACCAGAATCCGATCGACAGGTGGCAGACACTCTTCTGGATCGGTGGCGGGGTGTGCATTGGCAGTATGTTCGTGTTCCTGTTCGGAGGTAGCGGTAATATACAGAAATGGAACGAACTTCGACCGCTCGAGGAGGACCCGAAGGAAAACGTGGAGGCTGGGCAAAGAATGGAGCCTGTCGCGCGACCTACTTAAACGCGACGGTTCTAAAGTTCTATTCCAAATCTAGCAATGACGCGTCGCGAACGGCACGATAGAAAAATTTAATATTATTGACAAGAATGTTCCTAAATACAATAGGAAACATTTAATTGAAAGACTGAAAAATGAGAACTTTCTTGGAGGAAGATTTTTAAAAATTGAACTGAAGATTATCTGAAGAATCAAGACTTTTCAAAAAAATTTTGAGACGCTAGGCTGTTTAAAAAAAAAAAAAAAAGCCCAAAATAAAAATGTTAAAAAAAATCTCATAAAATGAAGACACTTAAAGAATGCGTATGACAATTGTATCGCGTATCGCTCACCTTTGCGTAGCTTCGAGTTCGTTATTTATCTACCCTTTCGCATTTTTGACAATGTCGTTTCATTAAATTTCTTTACACATTTATCACATCCTATATTATATTTACATATATACCATCGTCTTATGTTATATAGTTGAATAAAAAATTGTCATTCCTGTTATTTCATTTTATCCTCGCAGTCAACCGATGCGTATATCGGATGTTTTGAAATTATCAAACCGGAACATCTCGTGTATACACAAGAATAGGATGACATCAAAATAATAAAAGCGTAATAATGAATGTACTCTTTACCTGAACCTTTTGTATCTTTATATAATTCAACGTGGTCCGTTATAGAATGCCGTGTCAAGAAAAAAGAAGGGGAAGAGTAAGGATCTGTGGAAAAAAGTTAGATTAATTAAGCTTTGTAGTAATGATTATTGCGAAACTAATCGGAGCTTCTCCTAAGCGTTTCTCAACAAAGTCGCCTATGGACAGTGAAGAAGTAATGCACATCATTTATTACATGCATCTTACATCATCTGGTATAGTAATCAATCGCTTGCATCACAGATTGTTACTTCACAGCACAATCAATAGTCTTCTAAGACTAAACGGATTCCGTTCAATCGTTTCTTTGTACACGAACATCGGCCAGCAATTAATTTCCGAAATCACCAAAACTGTCCTTTCATGACGGTCCTTGAACACCGATAACACCCTTCGTCGGCTTTAAGTACACACACCAAATAATCATTCTCATAGACTAGCGATAGAGCAGCATTCTCCGCGCGCATGGCATTCCGACGAGCCTGGCGTATTCCTCCACCTCGCGTTTCTCCTCACGCGTTTTCTGTGACGTCTTTCTGGCGTACTGTAGTCTGTACTTCTTATACGGCATCGCAATTCTGTTACATACTACCAGTACCTGAAGAAAAAAATGCTTCAGTGGAAACGAAAATTTTAACAATGTAATAAAACTTAGCGAATTTTACAGTTAAATTACTTTTAAATTTTGCTGGAAATAGCAAATGTCGAAAACTATGATCGCACTTTCACGAAAATTTTAACGACGTAATAAAACTTAGTGAATTTTACAGTAAAATTACTTTTAAATTTTGATAGAAATAGCAAATGTCGAAAACTATGAACACATGATCGCACTTTCGCGATAAAGGCGCGACAGCTGCTTGTAAAATTATCTCGGAAGATATACCTCATCAACGTCGTCGACCACACCGTTTTCGTCGATAGCGTCGGTTTCGTCGTTCAGACGGCTGTACTTGGCGATGTCCAGTTTGGCTAGGCAGGGTTCGATGTCGCGCCATACATATGTCTCCGGGCATAGAAGCTTCGACGGCTGCATTCTGGCTTTATATCGCATCTTCGGACACGTATGAATGTAAAAGCCCATGTAGTAGTATTTCAGATCGTTCGCAATCTTGTTGAGCTGTCTCGTTAGATAAATCTCTCGAAGAGAACTAGAAGCAATGCATTTATTCGGAATTGTAGCTAATCTGCGAATTTAATCACCTGTATCGCAATTAAATGTCTGTAAAAAAAAAAAGTGAGAACTATAAACCTAAAAGTTCCGAGAGAGAGTTGATTGTATGCCGGATCGTAAAAGAAGTACACGCTCGAGATGCACGACGGTAGAATGTCTATCACTCCCACCGCTATCAATTCGTTGTCCAACCAGTATTGCTCGTGAAAGGAACCGTATCCGTGAGGTGGTCCATTATCGGGTATCCATTCCTTTAAAATGTTACGTTACTTTAGAAGTTCCATTCCGTTTTATCTTCATAACGACTATTACGGATTAGCGGTCAAAGTTCTGAATGACATAATTTAACACTAAAACCGTCAAAGATGCTATTTTGGCTTCGCCATTATTTAAACTAATTATTTCTCTTTTCTTTTTTGTATTATACAGTATTTACAAAATTAAAAATATATGAGTATATATATTTTTCAAATAATTCTAATAATATAAATAAAATTAAAATAACGCAAAAATTAATTTATTTATTAAGCAAAAACAAAAACAGGAAATTGACCAAATTGACATCACCGACAGTTTTTTAGTGGAATATCATTGACGATTCTAGTTAGTGTTAAAAGACTTTGCGCTTTTGTAAAGCACAAGATAATATTTTTGCAACAATACTATGCATAAAAATGAATATTTCTACTCTGAGAAAGATTCTCAGTTATTTTCTGTACGGTTCGTAAACACGAAGAAATTAGATACAAAGTGTACCTGCAAGGGACTCTCCACAAGGAAGCTGACGAATGATTTTCGATCGCATTGCTTCGGTGTGTCGCCGTGAATCGTCATTTGATACTTTTTATAAAGACTCGCGCTCGTCTCAACAGTTTTCCCAAACTCATCCGACTTCACGCCCACCAATTTCATCTGACAAATTTAAAACGTAAAATTCTTGATGTAAAATTTTCAATGAATGACAGTAATAACATCCGACATGGAAATTACTATTGTCGAGCAACGATAACGCAATCATGAATTCCCTGTTTTGAGAGGCGAGGTCCACTTTGCTCCAATCATGTGACATTACTGTCTCCATATAGCACTCATTTGGCCATCGCGAGATCGCCAGCGTGACTGTCAACGTATCGCGAACATGACTGATGTAGAATTTCGAATAAAATTGATCAAATGCAGTAGAAAATAAAAGAAAAACATTGAATCAAAAGCGCATAACTTCTATCTAGATAGCCTTCTGCGCAACTTATCGCATAACAGGTGGCTTGTCTACAGATAATTTAAATCTAGAAATTACCTGTAGAGGCGACTTCACGAGAAATCTCTTGTACTGTTCCTCTGTGAGCTTTTCAAGCGGTACTCCGTGTATCGTGTTCTGATACTTTTTGTAAAGCTCATAAGATTCTTTCTTTGTCTTATGGTATTCGGAGCTCTTTGGCGCAGTTCGAACCAGTCTCAACTTACAAAAGTAAATAATTTATAGTAAAATACAAATCTCTATCTGGACAAGGAAGTGAATTGCTATCGTAGTAAGATAACATGTGAACTCGTTGTGAATTTATAACCAATTCGTAACATTGTAAGTTTATAACCAAATTGGAAAGGCGAGTAATGGAAAAATGATATGGATCGATTTCGTGATGCAATGCAGCTAAATAAATGTAAATATATAATAAATCCTAAATGTAAATATATTGAACTATCGATATAGAGCCAGCACTAAAACAACATTATTTAGCCAATATTGCTACAACTAAACTTTCGATTTGTTTTATTATCTCTAATATGATAAAAATTGGAGAAAAGAGGACCACACCGAAGAATGACACGTATAATAAGTAAGAATGTATACTATTCCATAAGTAATAAGAATAATTAGTTTTCTTGCACAAAGAAACGATTTCGGAGTTTAATCGTTGACATCACTTATTACCTCCAACTTCTTCAATCCAGTGTACACCTCCTCGAACAATTCCTCGAGAGTCTTAACACAATTCTGTTGCTTCTTTTCTGTCATGATCCTCTCAATTTCGCTCTGCGATTTACCTTGAGCCAACAACTTATTCTTCTTACGCTCTATGCGCAAGAGCTTCGCCTTCTTGCAAGGTACCACATCGGCGATGTCGTTTCTCACGTGCATGGTATTTTTGCCGCTGAAATTCGTTGGCTGCGCTCGAGCGCCGCCCGACACGGAAGTAGAATTCTTTGGAGTTTCTGTTTTCACGAGATTGACATTGAATCTTCCACTGATCTCATCGTCGACAGACAATACATTCAATTGCAATTCATCTTTCTTCGCTTTCATCAGATGCTTAGGATTTAACGCTTCTTCGTTGCTTATGTCTATAAATATTATAAAGCTAGTGAGTTAGTCTCTGAAAACGTTATACATTGTAGATGAAAAAAAATTTCTAAAAATTTTACCTATATTATCATGCTGATCTTCATTCGTACCTCCAGCATCGTCCTTTGTCAATTCATTATTCAGAAATTTAGTCATGCGCTTTAAAATCTTCTTCTGAGACTTTGATATTCTAAAATCTAGCGCTTCGCATCTAAAAATCATTATTCGTACATTGTTTAACGCATCGCTTTCAGTTCTGTTTTCTGTAACTCTCTTGGCAACAGCGTCGATATCGTCGTTGCACAGACATTATATATAATATATATAAAAACTGCGCGACGAAAATATAACAATACCAACATCATTGAGAGTTACAGAATAAGGCCCTTCTTTAAAGCCCAGCTTACTATATATGATGTGTTTAAGCAATACATCATATATACATATTACATCTCAAATTCAGGAATCAGGAATATTGCTCACTTGATAGTATATTGCGGACAGCAGGTCAGGTTCATTGTGGGTTTATAGCAGTACATACCGCTCCGCCTCCATCCCCTGTCTATCAAGCTCTGGTAGTCGTGCACCGTCAACATGTACGCCCACATACCTGCGCGACAAACGACGACTTATTGACGTTTGACTTGACATCGAAATAAAACTCAAACGTACGCCCGGTTGTTCCAGCTTCGAATAAACTGCGGTAATTTATTTGATGGATATTATAAATTACCACGCGGCTCATCCGAAGGATGGAACAACCGTGGCACCTTGAATCAGGTACTTATTTCGGTTTGTTTTTAACAGTTTTTTAACGAGAGAATGTAGACCGTTATTGTTACACAGAGTGACATGAAAATGGGACATGAAAATATCCGATACTCCGCGAAGCGAAGTGCATCAATGCGGTACAGCTCTCGCCGCTCTCACCGTGACTGAAATTCGTGTCGGGGTTCTTGCAGTAGCCGCATCGGTAGCCCTCGTTCTCCGCGAAATAGTTCACCATGCTGAATCGCCTGTCGGCCATCTCGACGATATTTCTTTGGGCCGCGCTCGGTTTTCGTTAATACTGCTCCAGGTTCCAGATTGCTACTATTTAGTGCCAACTACAAACGCGTTCGAGGCCTCATTCGCGTCTGAAGTCTTTATTGGATTCGTGTGCGAGCCACGGACTGAGGTGGACGTCTGTGGCCGAGTGGTTCCACGTTCTAGAATTTTCGCGCTGATTTAGTACTTCTTTACTTTCGGTATTCATTCATAACGTATTAGTATTATATCATTCGACTCTAAGAATCTGGGCGAATTAATACCCGTATAGGGAATAGGCCCATAAGAAAAGAAGAAAGAAAAGCGTCTGAAGTCGGGCACCTCGCGTTGTTATGACGCGACTAGATATAGGTTAAGATTCAAACTCACGTCGTCGCTCACATTATTTTCTTCTTCTTTTTTTGCTTAACGATTAATCCGAAATGAAGTTCTCTCAATAAAACTTCGATACGCCCAGGATTCTTTGAAGTTTCGATCGATAACTTTGAAGTGACAAAAGATTTGTCGAATAGTAAAGACAAGAACACCTCGTTGTCAGCTGGTCTTATATTACATAATGGCTCCTCTCTTCGGACGAGAATCAATCCGATCGATATCTTGCAGTAGTGTCGAACAGAAGGCTCATTTACGTTGTGCTAGATATTTTCTAATTTGACAAAATAAAATTAAGGACCATAGGAACGTTGTTGAGCACAGCTGTACGCAGCTCCGGACTCCAAACAGCTGAGAGCTCTGACTGAGTCATGACGTACGATTACGTACATAGATACGCGACTCGATCGTGAGTGCAAGTGCATATTAATGCGCATGACGATGTCCAGGATTCAGATTAGATTATTTGCAAAAACTTACATGTATTTCAAATGTAAGCAATACAGAAAATAAAAAAGGAGTTTTACGGATAATTTATACAGTATTCACTGTTAATTTTACAAATATACTAATATTTTATTATGATTATTTCTTACTTTAAACAACGATTTTATCATATTAATTTTTATTTTCAACAATGGCGTAAATAAAATATATATTATGCTAATTAAGTATATTTTTGATTTTTACAATAATGAGAATAATGTACGTAGATCTAATTGTTTTATCATGTTATTTAAATTTGCGGCCTATTCGACCATTCGACGCTCAGGATGAGATGATCGTAACCGTAACCATTTAGCACGTCGATCGCTTTCTGAGCGTCGGCCCTGTACCTGAAGTGAACATAAGCGAACCCTTTGCACAGGTTTCCAAGTTTCGTCTCTTTCGCGAGATACTGTTTTACCACCGACCCGAAGGGTCTGACGAGATCGTCCAGATCCGCGTCCGTCGTGCTCTGCGACAGATTCGCGATGCGTATGGCGAACGCGTCGTCACGTCGCTGCATCATTGAATCACCGCGTTTGCTCGCGCCATCGCGCATACCGGGCGGCACGTACTTCCCTCCTTCACTCTTGGCTTCAGACGCGAGCGATTTCTCGTCCGGTGCTAATTTTCCTGAAAGACAGAATTAATTTTAGCAGTTATATAATTTTACAAAAGTAAATTATTATGCATATCTGAAGTATCATTTTATTTTATATATACCTATATATATATATATATATAACTAAATTCTGGTTCGTATTTTTATCAATTGCACTCTTCTGCAACATATATAATTTAACTTTTATTACCACCAGTGAGAACTGCCGCGGTGTCTCTGTACGGGCACTTGGACGTCCAGTGATCGCCGTTGCAGTTACGGCACTTGACGACACCCTTGTCGCCCATATTTTTCAACCGGTCGAGGGAATCTTCCTCCACTTTGTTCTCCTCCTCCTTGCTGGATATAAATTGTACGACCACTTCCTCGCCAACGAGAGTGGTGGCCGGATTCGGACCCGGCCCATCGTCAGCGGAGTCGCCGAACTTTTTCCAATCTTTACGAGCGGCAATTGTTTTCGACACTATACGCCGCTCTATCTTGTAAGTGCATACAATCTTGACTCTCTTGTCCTCCTCATTGTATTTATATTCGGTATGAATTTTGAAGCCGTTCTCATAGACTGTGGAAGGTGGGGGTAATGTTCCCTCTTCCTCAACTTCATCAGCCCAACTGGACTTGATCTCGCTCTTAACTGGCATCTCTGCAAGTATATGCAATATTATGCAACATTTATATAGATATGTACAAAACACTAATTTTAAAGCGAATAAAATAAAGCGATTGAGATTAGGCGAGTTTAAGCTGCAGGCAATTAAAGCGACTCTATAGGCCTGTTCGCCGGGCCTGAACATGATTGGTTAACTTCACCTGGTAAGAACCAATCACGTTCAGTCGTTGATATAATCAACTCCCCTGCATTAGTAATTAAAGATTCCTAAAAATTGTGCCTTCATTTTATTTGTCAACAATTTTCACATGAGCGGGCTCATGTAAAATCAACGAAATCAATTAAGGTGGTTTTATCGCCAACTCGATATAGTGTGACGTTGTCACACAAACGTCACACAATCACTAACTTTTGACTGGGACTTGCATGATAATGAAAGAAGCACCATGTTACACCATCAACATAGCTAAACTCTGCATGTAAACTCGTGATATGTTCGGAAAATACAAAGATCAAGAAAATGCCGCGTTAAAGGAATAAAATCGCAAAAATCGTCATTGGTCTACTCTTACCGTAGGAATTAGACAGCTGGCCGTAGACAGATTATTCAGATCGAAACACAGACTACATATAACGAAACGAAGATCAAAATGGAGGAATCCGTGATGTCCCGGTAGTCCCGATAGTCTGCTGATATCTTCGACGATATCTTCGATCATTCTCAAATCACATGATGAAAATAAGCTGCGTATGCGCGTGTGAGGTATGCAGCCAATCAGCACTGACTCTGTGTCACTTGACGAATGGCCTACTTTGAGGGCCTCTTTCACCGATCTCCCAGTAATGTCCATTTCTACCAATGTAGGTTAACTTCAATCTCGATTTTATTTACTTTTTATCTTTTTCTAATTCTTAAAACTAGAAAAAGATACAGAGCAAGTTAAACCCGAATTAAAGTTAATCTACATCGGTAGAAACGGACATAAAAATAATAGAAACGGACCGTCGACTCGGAGTCGGATCGAGTCAACAAATCGAAAACGAGCTATCGATTCTCAAACAATCGAATCGGAATCTCGCATCACTGGACTAGTAAGTCTAGTATCTTCAGAAACGATTCTCGAAATGTAACCGGCTTGGCATACCTAACCTATTAAACTTGTGGCTATCCGTGATTCGTGTGATTGGCGATAAAAGAGTTAAAAAATTAATTTGGAGAGTTATATTCATGGTAAAATTCATGGCAAAATAGGTAAAATTATTTAATAAATACTTATTTCGATACTTAAAGTATAAAAAATCCAGTTGTATTAATAACTTCGATAAGTTCAAAAGGCTTCTTATTTTTAAGAAACCCTCCCCTCCCCCCTAACCCTAGAAGAATAATTATTTATTGCAAGTGGATATTTGGGGGCAAATCTCCTTAGAAGTTTTTTTAGATAGTCGGCCGACAATCGTAGGATGGAGAGATTGGAGAGCTCCGGCGAGAGTTCGTCGAACAATCAGCAGGCACCTGCGCGCGGCGAGAGAGTGAGCGCTTCTTTTTAGTTTCATTTTTACAAAATTCATTACCGAGGCATCGTTCGAGCGCGCTATCAGCTGTTACATCAATCTGTCCTTGTTTCTCATTTAACGAACAATGCCAATAGAATGAAGTAACGTTGACAGTGCGCTCCCCGCCGAAGCCTGAGGAAAAGAGATCAGAGAAGAGAGTTAATTGTTCGCGTTTCCAATTTGCAGAAGGGTACACGGGGCTCGAGGCAGCGGGCTGTGGATAACCTGAGCAAGAAGTTCCTGAGGAACTTCGATCCAGAGCACAGCGAGCGGGAGAAGCGCAAGCTGCATCGTCGATTGTACCTCAGCTACAGGAAGCACCTGTACAATGACTCAGGCGTATTCATACAGACATCGGACGACCTCTGTGATTGCTTAAGCCTGAACTGCCCTGGATGCCATTTACCGTGCCCTAAATGCTCCTCGCCAAAGTGCGCCCACGATTGCAGGTAAACTTTTTATGGAATTTTCCATATCTAGCGAAAGGCCTGTGGGCCTTGATTGTGTCACACAACTTGGTGAAAAATAAGCGAATTTACTTTAGAACATTTCAAATGCTGTGCGGAGGTTTTTATAACATTTTATAAAAATAGAGTGAAAATGACATCTGAAAACTTTAAAATTTTTCTCCATTGTTACAAAATGTGGAATATTAATCCACTGCTGCGGCAAGTTCTTCATTTATAATCTCATTTGATCAACATACAGTGAATTTGCTTACTTTTTGTAATTTTCACCAAATTGTGTGATACACATTCGAACTCTTTGCCTCGTTTATTACACGAAGTAATCCATTACGTGTCGTGACTGTCAGGAATAATCGCAAATGGACCTATGACACAATCCAATGCGAAGGGACCGATGTCGTGGCAAAAAATCCACTGTTAAAAGAGCCTGAAACGAAGTGAGAATGTAAAAACACGCGAACGTGCGTATCTGTAAGTATCTGTATAAAATACCGCAATTAGTATTACGAGATTCTTATTTTATTACTCTTATATAAACTGCGTATTTACATAATAAGCGAAAGTGAACTTAATAAAGTCTTAAAATGCTGCAAAGGGGAAATGTGGTTTTGTTTACATTTACACGTCTTCTTCATGTTTACCAATGTGTAAATTAACTTTAATCTCGGTTACTTTTAATTACTTCTTATCTTTTTTTTAAAATAAGAATTACAAAAAGATGAAGATTAAATTAAACCGAGATTAAAGCTAATTTACATTGGTAAAAAGAAACATCAGACCGAGTCTTCCAGTACGTCACATAACATGTGAATATTATTTCTCGTTATTTAATCGAGCATCCTATATTGTGAGGAAAGTGGTATTTGCTATTGTGATTGCATGGTGAGATAATTATAATTAGAAGCCTTACGATTTAGGAGCATCTTTTTTACAATTATTACTGCTATAATGTTAGTAATAATTATTATATTTATAGTTCAATCAAACAAATATACAGTATATGCAACTATGTAGCTGGTACCGAAAATGATTACAGTTAAATTATGATAATTAGTATATCTTTTTTTTCCGCGGTGTCCACATAGGATGGAAACCGTCTGGTAATTTCGCCAGATTTAATTTTCGGTACATAAATCTCCGCGCTGAGATCTCGGCGCTCAATATCAAATTGATTTTGTTGAGATTACACGTTCCATTCTCTTTGATATCGACAACAGATCGACTTCGTTCGAAATTATAAACGTCAAATTAATAAAAACACGATTCGTAACTCGCGCCTATGATGCACCCTCGCGTGGTCACGTCACTGCTGCCATACACACGCACACACTCTCGCGCGTTTATGTCACTCTCATACACACATACAAATGCACACACGGAAGCGTTATTGATTTTCGCGCGGCGCTTTTGGCGGCGATGCGCGCACACGTCGCGCGCACACCCACACCACGTATACGCGCGGAGGGCGCGCGCTTCGTTTTTCGTCCGCGAGATCGTCTCGAAGTTGGCGCGATCCCGGGAAAAGAAAGGTGAAGAAGGAAGCGACCGGGAGCACGATCAGTGTCGATCGCGAGGGTAGTCGCGGGACGCGACCTCGATCGGTGCGTAAAAAAAAAAAATTGATAAATAAATAAAGAACGCGGCACGGGGCGACGTGAGTCCCGGCCGTTCTCGCGGCCCGCGTTTATACGAGAACCCGCCGGAACCCCCGCGCGCACGGGTTAAAGCCGCTTACGCGCGAAGGTAGCCGCGGCCCGCCACCGCCGCGCGCGACGAGCGGGACGGGACTCCAGGGGGGTTGACGTTCGGGAGGTTCGCGCAGCGCCTAGTTCGCCGCGTCGCGTCGGTTCGCCGCGATTCCGTAAAACGGGCGTAACGGTGACGCGTATAAAAACGGGGCAACGGGTAGAGAGACGAGGAAAGCAGGAGCGTCGTCCGTTCGGTTTCGAAGAGCCGCGGTGTCGGCGGACGTACTCACGCACGCACGCACGCACGCACGCACGCAAGTACGCACTCACGCACGCGTACGCAGCCAGCGGGAGTGTGACGCGACGCGACGTGACGTGACGCGACCCGACGCGACGCTCCGCGCGCGGGTAAAAGAACGGAGCGGAGCGATCCAGCGCGCGAGCGACTCGCCGAGGAAGTCGTCGTCGATCGCCACACGAGAGCGCGCGGCCGAGTGCGTGGCCCGCCTGCGGAAACCGAGGAAGAGGGATATAAGCCTGCGAGGAGCTCCTCCGTCGCTCGACCGCTCTACGGCAGGTTTTCCCATCTTGTCGATACCATTCTCTTCTCTCTGTCTCGCTCTCTCTCTTTCTTACTCGCTCCGCGACCGCCCTTCGCCCTACGACGAATCCCGCCGTCGCCGCGCCGCGCCGTCCTCGTCCTGGGGGGCGACGCGACATCCGTGACGTTGGCCGCGAGTGCCCCGTGTCGCGATCGCGACCGACGTCGCCGCTATATATATATATATATATATATCGTCGATACCGACGGAGAGATACGGGTCTCACGATCTCCCCGGGGTTAGTGTTGCACCGCCTCGCTGGGTCCGTTTCCCTCCCGTTGACCGCGTTTCGCTTCACCCTTCCCCGTAGCTCCGAGGTGCTCCGAATCGGAGCAGGCTCGTAATTTGTTTCGATTTCGAAAAGTGCTGCACAGAACCGCGTCCGGGCGGTGAAAGTAGCGCGCGCCTAACCGTGAGTTATATTGTCGTTTTTCATTTTACAACAACCCGCAAGGTTCTCCAATTGTTGTAGAGAGCCCGATCGTGACTCTCTATTATATATATTCGGACTCCGGGATTGTCGGTCTCTCGCGGGGAGGACGAGTCCCGACCCGCGCCGCGAAACGTCGCGTGTTCGATGACCGTCGATCGGGGCGAGAATCGCCAGGAACCGATCCGTCGTCCGCGTGCGAACCGCGTCGCGCGGTGGAGGTTTGGTCATCGCGCCCCCGCGCTCGCCCGGCGAGGGTGTGCGATGTGGCAGTCAAAGTATATGTGTATTCCGACCGGCGAAACGCGATATCGCGGTCGTGTATCAATATGAGCGATGTCGCGAGCTTGCGTGATCCGAAACGGTGATGGTAACTCAAGGGTTGGAATCCGACGAGGTCGATCGGGGGGAGAGGATAGGAGGGTGGGGAGGGGGTGGCACGGCAACGATATTTTCTCACGGATGGGACGAGATACTTTTCTCTCTCTGTCTCCCCCCCTCCCTTCCCCCCCCCTCTCTCTCTCTCTGTCCCTGTGTCTTCGCGATATTCATCGAGACGAGTATAATTTGAGGATAACATCGTAACGATCGTGAGTCAGAGTTGGTATTTTCGGTGGCTCGCGCGATTGTTCTTGTAATTTCAGCGAATTTACGTTTCGATGTCGTACGCAAGAGTAGTCCCTTTGGTTTCTACCTATACAAATACAACAATTGGCAGGAGCAAAGTGTATTTAACATTCGTGCACAGCGTCGAAACTCGAAATTGAAATTTGTCAAAAACTTGGAAAACTTTGATCGTCCTGCCCATAAAATTATTCTTATTTTTGATAGAGCGCGACTTTTTTTTATTTGAAACGATAAAATTTGCGGAATCCTGGATTTTTCTCTAATTTTAACTGATTTACGCTAGTTGAATTTTTCGGCTAGTTTGATTTTTTATCGTTACGCGAAAAGAACGATATTTGTTAAAGCATCTAAAAAAAATTTAGATAGATTTGAAAATAATTTTATTGGATCGTCAAAATAATTATGTAGAAAACTCAAGCACGATGAGCGATGTTGCAAAAAAAAAGTTTTGATATTCTAGCAACCAGTTTGAGAGTAATTATTTTGGCAGTCCAACAAAATTATTATTTGTAGATCTAACTAAATTTTTAGACACTTCAGCAAAACCGTTCTTTCCGTATATGGGTCCATTCTCTCTTTCTCCTTCTTATTTCTGCAGCCATTAAATTCCTGATTTTTCTGAATTAAACTACTTTTGCGGAGAGAGAAAATCATCCAGTTCAGTTGCACCTTCCGTGCTTTGTGTCTTTTCTTCTTCTCGGCATTTAATCTTAAATTCACAAAGTGCAGAGAAACGTGCAACTAAACGAACCTGCTTCCGTTTCTCTTCAGAGATCTGTTTTTCCTAGCTTTAAGAAAAGTACACTTGAAACGAAACAAGTGTATTCGGACCGCGTCGAGCGGAGAGAGGGAAAGAAATGAGGGATTTATGGGGAAACGTAGATGGTACAAGTGGAAAGAACAGACTTTTTGCAGACGGCTCGCGGAGGACGATGATGGTTGCGTTACGGTAGAGAAGGCAGTTTTGCAACTGTCGTAAAATTCTTTAATACACGGAAAGAACGATTTTGTTAAAAGGTCTAAAAATTTTGCTAAATACAGAACAATTTTGCTGGATTCAGATCTGAAAATAATTCTTGTTTAATCATCAAAATAATTTGTTGGAAAGTTAAAAACTATAAGCATTGCAGCTATAAAACGTTTTGATATTCTATAGCAATCATTGTGACTTTCCAACAAAATTATTTTTTGATTATTGAATAAAAATTATTTTCAGATCTGAATCCAGCAAAATTGTTCTTTCTGTGTATGATTGATTTAATACATCTATTTAGATCCGTCAGAAACTGAAGATAAGAATTAATCATATTTGATTAATTTATATATGATTAATTCTTGCCTTCAGTTTCTGACAAATCTAAATATATAATGTATTATCAATTATATTAAAGAATCTCACACGGAAAGAATTTTTCTGATTTTGCACGGAAAGAACAATTTTGTTGAAAGGTCTAAAAATGTTTGCTGAAAACAAATCTGAAAATAATTTTTTGTTAAATCATCAAAATAATTTGTTGGAATGTTAAAACTGATAAGCATTACTATAAAACGTTTCGATATTCTAGCAATTATTTTGACTTTTGCATAAAATAATTTTGATTATTGAACAAAAATTATTTTCAGATCTGGATCCAGCAAAATTGTTCTTTTCGTGTGCTGAAAGATTGAAAATTTTGCTCAATACAGATCTGAAAATAAATTATGTTGGCATATCGAAAAAAAAAATTTGATGTTCTAACAACCATTTTCAACATCATTTTTTTGACGATTCAACAAAATTTATTTTCAGATCTGTGTCCAGCAAAATTTTCAATCTTTCAGCAAAATCAGCAAAAATTCGTTCTCTCCGTGATAAAGTTCTTTTTTTCTGAACGTAGCCGTTTATTGTATGTCTTGGCATAACAATATAAGTAGCAAGATTTAAGATAAGTAACAGCATTTAGCATGCCGTTTAAGGGTGCAATCTGTTTGACGAACGATGCATCATGAAACGGAATGCACCCTTAAATGGCAAACGAGTCACTTCCGAGAGTTCCAAAATGGCAGTCTTACGCTCTCAAGAATTCTCGATTTCAGTTAATTAATATAAACTTGCTTGCCGTTCGAGGCTTTCTTTGCCGTTTGCATTTTTCCACGTGCCCCGGCCTTTTTTGGAGTCTAAAACACAGATACGTTTGTACGATTCGGAACACGCAAGCGTGAAATACATAAAATCCGGTGATTGTGCGGGGAGATGTAGGAGAAAAGAGGCACAACAACCAAGAACAGACCCGCATGAGGCGCGCGAAGGACGGGGGCGGAAGGGTGGGACGAAGGGGGAGGAAGGCGCATACGGTCGGATGCGGTTTCGTGGGTGTCGTCATCGGGAGGAGTATACGTCACGAGATATGCGCGGAAGGACGGACGGATATAACCTTTCGTGGGTTCAGATTATTAACCGCGTGGGCGAAGCGCAGAGCAGAGAGCGTGGCGTTGCGCGTCTATATACATGGGGTGTCTCATTACCATACCGGATGTCCTCTTCCGCCTCGCGGCTTCGGCACGGATGACTTGGCTGACCTGGGAGTCGATTCTTCCTCGAGGAGAGAAAGAGCATCGAGATGCCCACGCTGACAATTCGGAGGAAAAATAATACATACAGATACGGTATCCTGCAGTTATACATAGTCTCTGTGAGAGAATTTGAAGCTAGATTAATTCAGAAAATCACAACGCGCGCTAATTAGGACCGGAAGGGTCAAGCGAGGTCGCCGCTCGAGTATTTTCCGCCGAGGGGAAGAATCGTCTCGCCCGCGAGAGCGATCGGCTGCGGTCGGGAAAGGACATCGGCGCGGTGCGCGGTGGTATCGGGACATCTGGTATAACTTGTGGTGTGTGTTGTGTGCGGCAGGTCGGGCGGTGTGATCGAGGAGGGTGATCGTCTCGCATACACGCACGCATACGCACCCCCCTCTCTCTCGTCTTGTGTCGTCTCGTCTCGTCTCGTCTCATCCCCCCCCGTCTCATCGTCCTCTGCACACTCTACGCGGACCCCGAGCGCCGGGGGTTTACGTCGCCGGGACGGCAGATGTCAGGATGCCGGAGCAGAGCAACGACTATCGCGTGGTCGTGTTCGGGGCGGGCGGCGTCGGCAAGAGTTCCCTCGTGCTGCGCTTCGTGAAGGGGTCCTTCCGCGAGTCTTACATACCGACCATCGAGGACACTTACAGACAGGTAAGCGAGTGATGTACGCGCATCCTACGATTCTATTTTTTTTCTCCCCTTTTTTTCTCTCAAACGGACGGCGTGCTTAAGCACGGCAACCGACCGCGCGTTCCTCTCGATATCCGTAACACGTGTATTATTAATTAATTTTATTAATTGACCGGAAATAGCTCGATCGCTCTTCAATGGAAAGAAAGTTAACTGAAATTTAGCCGATTCTATCTCCCCTCTCTCTCTCTCTCTTCTTGACGAAGATGAGACAAAGAACTAATCAGATGGTCGAATCAATCGAAGTAATCCCGTATTTTTTTTTTGCCATGAAATTCTATCGATTAATGCTTGTGTGCCACGCCATAAGTTCACACGATTGAGTCATTCGTGTTTTCTCGGTATACACGATTGAGTCATTCATACGTCAGCTGAAATTAGTTATAACGTTTACAGGGTATATGGAACACTTTTACCCTATATACAATTTTTTTTTTAATACACACACAGATATTTCCTAAAAATGTAAAGTATATATCTAAAAAATGATGCAACTTTTGTAAAAGCGATGAAAATTAATTCAGACACAAATAACCCATCGCGTGCAATAAAGGGCTGGAAAATCATTCTCTTTGTATTAAAAGTTAATTATGCATGGACTGTATATTAAGTGCGTAGGAATAATACAACCGTGCTCGCGGAGGCTATCGTGCGGCTTGCAATTGTGTTTTCATTAGTAGTTAACCTTTCGTGAAACTGCAGGCATAACGACGCGTTCGATATACGCGCTTATTATCCCCCTTTATCGATTTCGACTCGCGGAAAAATTCGTCGGAGGCGCCTTCGTCACGCGCCACGTGCTGCCGCAACGAAATTGACAGATCGGCGGCCACCTACTAAGCCGCTAATTATAGAATCCGTGCAAAGCGGACTTTATGCATGCGGCGCGCATCGGATACGCGCGGGCACGTAGATATCAATTTCCGCGGGAGCCGAGATTTCAGCGATTTAATCGGATGTCCCTCCCGCGCGCGCATCGCGCGCATCGCCACCGCGGGATCGCGATAACTCCTGGCCGTTTGCGAATTTAATATATACCCCGCGCGCATCCGGCCTGATATAATATAATACCGGGGACTGACGTACGCGCGAGCAAAAACATTAAATTTGCAAGTGGCTGCAGTGGCAGCGACGCTCGAGGATATCCGGCAGCGCTCGCCGGTAAGCCGACAGCGGTGAGGTAGAATTAGCGGTAATAATACACGCTAATCGCAGAAATGCATGTCAAAGGCGCACGTCACTGACTATCATGACCATTTTACGTTTCGCGCGTCGCGAAAGGAGCATCGCGTATATGCACGAGTTAACCCTTAGTACACACGATCATTTTCCGGTCTTTTAACTACACACAGATGGGTCTTTGAAGTCTGAAGTTAATTTTCATCATTTTTACAAGAGAGGTACACCAAAATTATTAAGTAATTTTTATCATATATTTCAACATCTTTGAGAAGTATATTTATACAGTTGTGTATTAAAAAAAATTTATGTAAATATTATAACTAACAGCAGATTTACAGCAGACACGAATGACCCAATCTCGTGTGTACTGAGGGTTAATTACGTGCTATGACACGTCGCGTGTCACGGCATGTGGTCAAAGAGAATGACAGGTGGTCAGAGAGAATGACAGATTGTTTAACGCTAGAAGTATCAACGTTTCTTACACACTAAAAGGACTAAGCGAATAAATTATTATAAAAATAAAGAGAGTGATGAAAAATTAACTATTTTATCAATATCTATATTTTATTAATATAAAGAACATATATCAAATATAAAATCAATAATTGAATTATGGAAAAGTCAAAAAATGTCAGAATCTTTTATATAAGAGAGAAATATAATAATACTAATCTTCAAAAATAAAAATGGTTACTAATAACCGCTTGGCATTTGTGTGTGAGTGTGTGTGTTAAAGTATCTACTAAAAGCATCGACATTTCTTATAAATCAAAGACATAAATTACTTTGAAAATATAGAAAATGTCAAATCAAATATTTTATTAATATATCTAAAAGATATGATTAAAAGTTATAAATTTCAGAATCCCATCTTCTTTATAAGAGAAATATTAATCTAAAAAAAAAAATAGAAAAGTTCAATAATGATCGCTTGGTATTTCTAGCGTTAAATCATATCAGCTCTATAGTGGTGCTGCCGGTTTATGGAAAATCGAGATTTTCTCCGTACGAGATACAAGGTTCTCATGGTTCTTCATCGATACCTACGCCACGCGCATGGCACACGTGTGAATTACTCGTCGATGTTGCTCGTCGGTCTTGAATTATTCGTACAAGCGCAGGTGAAAGCAACGTGGCTTGCGACATAATGTCTCGATTATATCGGCCGTCCGCCGCGCGTTGTACAACGGTTTCGTAAACGAATTTCGTGTGACTATTGATTGATACGTATAATAGATGTACATACACACACACAGACGCACACATATATATATCCGTAAATTTTAACAGAGACGCACGGCGCGCACGTTGTGTGCGTGCGCGTGTGTGTGTGTATTTTGTATAACACAAAGGCACACAATGACGATGCTGGTGGGACTCTCGCTGTGTGCGCGACGAGAAGTGTCACCGATGGGAGTCGCGCGGGCGTTTCCGATTTAGCTCGACTCGACGCTGTTCAAAATCGAGACGTATGTAAAATGTCTAGACGTCATTAAGACGGCTGAGAGTCTTAATGGCGTCTTTCAACCGTCTCACGTCCCGATTTTGGACACGCGCGCTGAGTCCGGGGATTCGACGTTCGCCAGCCTGCCTCGACTCGACTCGGCGTGCAGCTGAGTCAAGTCGAATCGGGTCGAGCATGTAATCGGAAATCGCGGTCTCTCTGGAAATCGAGAGACCCGTAGTCGCGCGACGTACCCAAGTCAACGTACCGCATTACCGGTAATTTCAGGTGATAAGTTGCGACAAAAACATATGCACACTTCAAATTACGGACACAACGGGGTCCCATCAGTTTCCCGCTATGCAGCGGCTCTCCATAAGCAAAGGTCACGCCTTCATCTTGGTGTACTCGGTGTGCTCACGGCAAAGCCTCGAGGAGCTACGACCGATCTGGGCCGTGATAAGGGAGCTCAAGGGTCAAGATATCTCGCAGATACCCATTATGTTGGTAAGAACTCAATCGCAACCCTCCTTTCCCATTTGTTTCAGTTCTCCCCGATGCCGAAGTATCGGCAGCAAACACGAACTTATACGCTCTCTTCCGCGTTTCTCGTTTAATATTTAATAAATACGTCATCTCGCTTATCTCGCGAATTTTCGCAATAATAACTCAGATAATCACGAAAAATATTCCTGAACGGGTGATATTGTTTCACGCTTATGTCTTTAAAACTCGATAGAAGGTGCTCGTCGAGTACCACGATGTCTACATTAAATTTTATTGTGCAATCACTCAGTATCGATATTTTTACTGACAATGAGAGAAAAAAATGGTTGCAATTACTATAATTTAATTATAATTTTATATAGTTATTTTGAATACATATATTTATACATATAGTTTTATACATATATTTATAGCTACTTTAACTATGCAAATTATGTTTCAATTGCATTACGATTATCACAACTATGATATGCATTCATGCAACTGTATATTGTGAAAATATGATTGTTTTTTTATTTTTTATTTTACACATTTTTTAAATTATTATTATCACGCAAATAGTGAGCGAATGTTAAGAAAATAATTATATTCTCTTTAAGTGCGATTTCATTTATTATATAAAAATGTTTACTTTATTTGTCCAATTTAAAGATATCGAAATATCTCTAATGCCTGTTTTACTTGAAATTATCATATAATACAATTTTTTATATTTATAGTTGATGAAACTGATAAATATAATATATGGCTATTAATTAATATAGCAATAATGACTAGAAAAATGGAACTTATAATTATTTTATTATGAAGTTATATTCACAAGTACCAAACATTTTTTTCTCAGTGTAATAAATTTAAAAAAATTGTTTATCGATGGCATATACATACATATATCAGTGCTTTTTCGTTGTTTTGAAATCGGGATAAAAAAGGATTAGCTTTACAAATTTGGAATCATCTGACAACCTTCAAAGATAAAAAGGAACAGAATTTTTTAAAAAACTAAGCATTGCGAATCGACGTGTTCGGTTTCTTTCCTCTCGTTAAGTTTGATTGACCCTCGGTTTAATTTGGCTTCCACAAAAGAGAATTTCCATTCCTGCATGAAACCCACTCGCTCGTTTTTCGAGCTTCTTCTTTCGGTGGTCGTTTTCTTGCGCGACTCAGCGGTTCCATCGTTGATTCTAACGCCCCAGGTTGGGAACAAGTGCGACGAGAGCCCGTCGGTGCGCGAGGTGTCGATGAGCGAGGGCGCGGCCGAGGCGGCTAACTGGGGCTGCGGCTTCCTGGAGACCTCCGCCAAGACGAATCACAACGTGGACGCCCTGTTCCGGGACCTGCTCACCCTCGAGAAGAATCGCTCGGTCTCGTTACAGCCGGTGCAGAGCAACAACGCGATAAGACTCAAGGAGAAGTGTGCCGTTATGTAAAAAAAAAAAAAAAGAAAACAAAAATTCTCCGATCCGCAGTCGCGTTATGTACGTCGCGTTCCGACGACGCGACACCGTGCGATCGCCCCCCTTTGGCGAGGCCCTCCTCTTCCGACTTCCGGGAGCGCGCTGCATCCCCGCGTCGTCCACAGCGAAACGAGAGGGGGGACCTCGTCGCTACCCGCGCCGAATGATATCCCAAGCCGGTTTCGCCAACGACGGACGACTGTCGACTTGTTCGCGACTTGAATCCCTGGGCGGCACTTCCGTCTCTCCCGTCGAGATCCGTCGAAAGGTTTTACGGCGTGTCGTACCTCGTTACGTTCGTACGATAACGCGGGCCTAGAGAGTATCTAGCGAAATACTTCGAATTTTAAAAATAATTTTTTAAGGATTTCCCAACAGAAAGTTTTTAGAATTTTCAATTCCGCGAAACTGCGTTTCTCCGAGGTCTCCCCCCCTCCCCCCCTCGACGGGTCAATTTGGTGCGGACCTGGAGAAAGGCAGGAGGTACTTTTCGGTCGACGTTACGCGAAGGAATTTCACGCGAATTCGTGTGTGCGTTGCTCGTCGATGGTGAAGCCTTTTAAAACTTTAAGTTACAATACTTTACGCAATAGACCGCTCGACCGCGTAGGTATATACATATATATATATATATATATAATTTCTCCGTGCTCGATGATGATGGCAAATTACTCGAGTTCCCGCTCTTGTTTCTCTTGACTCCGTCATGGAATCGTCCGCGGTAATCTCGATCTGCGACCAGGATCGGCAAAAGCAACGATACCGGTGTTTCGACCACCGAGAACAGTCGCGCGTTTTCTCCAGCTACTGAATACGGGAAGTCTGGTATTAATTGCAACCATCTCAGCAACGTTGCAAACTCATTACGCAACATATCATGAAATATATAATATCGAAGCTCTAATTTTCATTTTGGGAAAATTATTTTTTATAGGGAAAGTTTCCACATTACTTTGTAGTAGCCATATACCGTTTCAAAAATGTTTTCCATAAATATACTCTCTTATTTTAGTAATAACGATACAAGTGAATGGTAATAGCGATAACGATATAAAAGTCATATATAGTTAATTATGATTATACAATTCCTCGAAACGGGACAAATCCGAGTTATCGCGATTGTTACAGTCGCTTCCTTGTCATAATTAACTCCAAGCTAACAATAGCGCGACGGAGATAATTAGTAATTTCCACAAAAACCTCTTGTTCCGCAGCGCCGAAAAGACCCCGATGATTAGCGTCGTGTAAAATCGATTGCAAAATTAATCTCGAGTTTAATTGGGCGATTATCAGAGTAATCGCTCTCGCGGAACCGTCGCACCCCTTTCGATTTCCGCTGAAGCAACTCCCTCACATCAAGATCGTTCCTTTTGCATATACAGATAAACAACGAATTGTCATGGAAGATCGACGTGTACAAGACGCGGATTTGCCCGCGCGGGTTTTTATCGCTCGCAAACGAGGCGGTCCGCCGGCAAAGGGCAGTCGTATAAAGCGGTCCTCTTCCCGTAGATCGATTTATCCGGAGATCGACCTTAAAACGTAAAACGTAACATCAATTCAGTAAATTTGTATTGAATGTGAAAAATGTTGAAAATAACGCGGACGCGTAAAATACAGTCCGGCTCGCCGGGCGCGTTAGAATGATATGCAAATTACCGGGAAATAATGATACCGGGAAAAGAGGGATTCGGCAAAATATACCGAAGGTCGTTAAGAATGAATTATCGCCGCGAGCGTATCTGGAACTCGGTAAAATTACGTTGAAAAATATGAACTTGAATGATGAGGGGATTTTAAAAAGGGATCAAAACTCGCCGTTGTTCGGCGTGGTCTTTTTTTTTTTTTCGCGCGGACCGCCTCCAATTTAGCTAACGTGCTGAATCGATAATAGCCGCGCGCGACCGATGCCCTTCCATGAAAATTCCGCAATGCTCCGCAATCGGAGACTACCGCACGACGACTAGGGACTGGTGTAATGCGCGCGCGTGAAAGTTTTTTTCGTGAGGATGACAAGAGAGAGAGAGAGAGAGAGAGAAAGAGAGAAAGTGCGAGTTCGAAGGTGAGAGAGGGAGAGAGAGAGAGAGAGAGAGAGAAAAGTGACGAAGAAAGAGTGAAAGTGCGTGTGCGAACGACGACGAATAACAAGTAGATAAGAATTGTTACGAGATTGGTTTTTGTTGAATAGTTGTAAGAATTTTGTAATGACTAATTCTAGCTAATTAGGACTACAAACGAGCTGCAGCAAGCCACAACACAAGTCCGTACAGCACACACCACGTATACACACGTGCGCATGCAGAGAGAAGCACACGTAACACGCAAGAATTGTATTAATTTATATCATTGGGCGAGTAAATTTACACAGGGCACAAACACACACCCACCCACCCACACACAGACGCGCACACACACCCACACGTAGGCACAGATTTGTTGACAGGCGCATCGCGAAAGATTACGAGATTGTAACTGTACATGTGATTTACGGCACACGTTTTTCCATATCGACGCAACGTTTTTAATGTTTTTTCCAATGGGAAAGATTTAGACTCCAAGGCGTTTTTAGACGTTTTCCCACGGGAAACAACTCGGACTACGAACGTATAGACAATTAACGGAGTATAATTATATCACGTTTTCACCTATTCCTCCCTCTTCCCCCTCGTTCATCTCCCGCGTCTACTCCCCCCCTTTTCAGCGGCACATCCCTCGAACGTTATCCGCGAGTGTTTCCTCGTGACGCGCGCGTTTCCCGCGGTCTCCCCTGTCATCCCGTTTCACGGATATGTCATAGAGAAGACCGGAGAAGAGACCTTCTCTTCTTCCTCCTCCCGGACGACGTTCCTCCTCCGGGCCACGTCGCGACCGCCGTCGCGTCCGCCGGGCGTCCGTCGATACGATCGATGTAACACACGTCGGCGCTTAACGATGATGTTGATAATGACGATGATGGTCCGCCGCCTGCACTTGAACGCGTCTCGACTACTGGGCTCCGTGTGAAGGGCCGTATTTATAGCCGTACGGCACACTCGAGATGGTTAGTGTCTCGAGTGTGTATCGAGTGATGTGCATACGCTCATCAAGGACCTAAATCGAGCCCCATCGTACTATACACACTCACACATATATATTATCGCGTCCTCGCAATAATATCCTTGCGAAAACTCGCTGTCGGAATATTCCGTACTCAAGTATTAAAAATTCGAATATTAAAAAGATCCTTATTGTCTATCTCATCCCTTTTCTTCTCTCTCTCTCTCTCTCTCTCTCTCTCTCTCTCTCTCTCTCTCTGTCGTTCTTCCCTGAGTTTAATTTCAATAACAAAGATAAGCTCCTATTGAATCGTCATCGGTGCTCCATTTACATTGCTTTACTTAACTTATCGTCCAAATAATTTATATTCGCAATCCCGCTATAAATACGGCCTCGTGAGAGATTCGCGAGGCGAAGGCCGACGCGAGGTAGCTAATCGGCGATCTGACTTGAAATTGGAGCTCGTCCTTTGAACAAGTCGACGACAATACGTCCCTACAGCCAGGCCGGAGCGTCAGTTGTTGGCAACGTGAATGCCATCAATTACAGCGATCATCGAGGCGAGCCGAGGGCTAGAAATGGCCATTCAGAGAAGGACCGACAACGTACCGACGACGAATATTACAGATATTGATTAATGCCTCGCTCAGATTATGAAAATTAATTAGAACGAGTAAGATTAATTACTACATGCAGTTACGTTTTTGATATAAAAAAACACGAATCAGCAATCCCTGAAGAAAGTTCAAGCTCACTCGAGAACGGCTTGTATCGAGAAAAAGAAAAGGAGATCTGGGCCGTCGTAAGTCGCTCCCGAAGGATGACATCGGAAAATAATAAAAACCGTCTTAGCTTCGATAAAAGTCCAGGGTGTCGATATACTTATTGTCAGCTCGCTGGCCATTTCTAGCGCTCTTACGCCGCGCGAAACGCGCCGTTGTTTGTTGCTCTACATATCCGTCGAAGAGGGACTCGGGACAGTCGGGATTATTATCCAACGAATTACACGTAAAATCGCCCGAGGCGGTTCACAATCCCCCCCCCCTCCCCCGCGGCGCTCCGTGTTTCTCACACTCCAGGGGAAAAGGAGGAAGGTAAAAGGGAGAGGAGGAAGAAGGCCGAATCAACGGAGAAATTTGTTCCGCGTGATATTACGAATTCCACCGCGGGTAAATCGCTCGATCGGACCTGCTAGATCTCGCGGGAAGCGAGAAATTCCCAGCACTCGCTCGTTTTCGACTGATTTTCATTCCTTCAACCCCTCCTCCCCTGTCACCACCTCCTCCTCCGACCGCTCGGCAATCCGGACTTTCCCCGGACTCCGCGTTTTTTTTCCTCCGCGGAGAAAAAAAAAAGAAATGAAAACGACAAACAGCTTTAAGGGACGGCTTCCCATTCCCTTCTGTCGAAAAAAAAAAAAAAACCGATAAGCTTAACGAATCGAACCCGAGGATTATGTCATACGGTCCCGTTGATATTAACTACGAGACTCTACGCGCTGAGAGAGAAAAAAACGGGGTCGTCCTCGTGTGTGTATACGTTGTATACCACTTTAATACGTAGTCGTGTATTACTCGTTACACTAACGATTGTTAGGCGTGTGTGCTTCACTTCGCTTCATCATAGGTAATTATCCGCCACTGTCGTCGCGACGCGCGGGCTGCGCAGAGAGTAACGTTTCCGCGCGCGCTGCAACGCCGCCGTTTATAAACCGAACACGGTAAACGGTATATCCCGTTCGCCAAGTTCCGGCGGTCTCGCCCCCGCGCGAACACGCTAAATCCCTCGTCTCGGACTCACTCACATACACACACATACACGGACACACGTATACGTTTTTATCGTTTATCACGTGCGTTTTGGGGTACGTTTGCCGTGTTTCGGGGAAGGGCGCGCCTTACCATTGCCGAGACTCGTCTGATTTTTCTGCGGCGAGCAACAACAAGGAGA